CGAGAGTTCGAGCTTGAAACCGACCATCGACCCCTAGAGCACATTTACAAACCGAAACCCAACAACACAAGCAAGTCGAACCCTGCGAGAATCGAAATGTGGAGATCACGACTCCAAGAGTACGATTTTAAAGTCGTATACAGACCAAGCCCATCCAACCTAGCAGATCCGTTAGACTTCTCAAGCAATCGCCCACCGATACTCGAAGTAACATGAAAGCCTGCGCAGACCGATACGTCCATTACCTTTCCCAATACCTTGCACCACCGGCCATGTCGATAGAGGAAATTCAACAGGCCTCTATCAACGACCCAGAGTTAACAGAGATACGGCACTGTTTACAAACCAATCAGTTACACAAGCTTTCCAAATCCTACCTGTCAGTCGTAGATGAACTCTGTGTTACAAATCAAGATATCCTTCTTCGTGGAAACCGAATCATCCTTCCAGCCAAGCTCAGAAAGCAAGCCATAGCCCTAGCTCACGAAGACCACGCAGGGATCACCAAGTGCAAACAACGCATACGATCAAAACTATGGTGACCTCTGATGGACAAACATGTTGAAGACCATGTCTAATGTTGTCATCCATGTCAACTGGTAGCACAACCACCATGTCCAGAACCGATGCGCCTAACCGAGCACCCCAAAGAACCCTGGACCGAACTAGCAATCGATATCTGTGGACCCTTCTCGACTGGTGAGTACATTTTTGTTCTGACAGACTACTACTCCAGATGGCCCGAGGCCAAGATCCTCAAAACCGTTACCTCAGCTGCAATTCTGAAGTGGCTCAATTCCATCTTCGCCCAACACGGCTATCCCAAAGTCCTAAAGTCCGACAACGCCTCTTACTTCACCTCCGCAGAATTTGGAACTACCCTTCAGTCCTGGGGAGTACGACACAAAACGGTGACCAAATATTGGCCACAAGCAAATGGTCAAGTGGAGCGTTTCAATGAAGTCATCAAGAAACATGTTCTCACAGCACAAGCAGAGCAAAAGGATTGGAGAGAATCACTACCGAATCTACTCCTCCACTACCGAACGACAACCCACCGAATCACTGGGGAAACTCCAGCCAAACTGCTGATGAAGAGAGAGCTTCGAACCAAGATCCCAGCAATTCCCACGCTTGAGGAATAAACAGATGGGGACGAAGAAGTTCGAAGAAAAGACGAGAACAAGAAATCCAAGGCGAAAGCTTACACCGACAAGAAACGTCACGTGGCAGAACGACAACTCATCGTAGGAGATCTAGTCCTGGTCAAACAGAAGCGAAAAAACAAGTATTCCACAAAATTCGGCAAAGATCCGATGACAATCACGAAGATAAACGGAACACAAATCGTGTTGACAGATCATCAGGGTAAGCAGCACAGACGAAACTCTTCTGACATCAAGAAATATTGGACAAAACCAGAACACAGAAACACAGAAGAAAATGATTTCGTAGCAGAAACCCAACCACCACCACAAGACACCGCTCCAGAAACCCCGCCAGACAACAACCCAGACATTCCCATCATACCTCCAGACCCACCACCACTCCGCAGATCCACACAAGAAAAAACGGTCCAGATCGTCTTGGGTTTTGACATTACTAAGCACGTAGATAATTATTCTTTAAGTATTCAATTTATGAACAATCACCATGCACGAATCAGAGATAGTTTAACCTAGCAAGCTACTAAACAGGGGAGGAATGTTGTATCCTATAGTTAGACTTAATTAAATCCAGCCTTAATTCACCGCACCCATATCATATATCCTAATCACATGTCAATCTGTTGTATATATAGTTACTTGATTCCATCAATAAATTAGTCATTGATTACAATTCGTTGGAGTAGCATTTGTCTAGCGGTCTCTATCATAATGAAGCAAGATACAAAAGACTTGCAGTCCATTGATAGACACCACTGCTGATGACTTTTAATAAAGGAGCAGATTTACCTGGTGGAAAAACTGTAGCCAACATTGGTGACCATTGAGTTATTGAAGCTGTAATTTTGGCTGCTGTCTTCCCCCGGCACAGCCTCGTACCCAGGCGCTTTAATACTAAAATAAATAACATTGCATCCAGGTATTGTATAGAGTTCAGCTGAAAAAGCAAGGGTGTTTGGGGAGGTTTGTTTTAGTGAGGAAGCGCCTGGCAGAAAATGACCGATTTCTGGAAAACGCTTGTATTTTGCAGTTTTTATTCTCATTTATATTTTTTTTACTGGATCGACTGTCGATAGGCTAGCCAAGTATTATGAACGTTTCCTTTGGCGAAGAATCATCTGAAGGTACTTTTATTTAAATATTTTCCGTCGGAGTGACTATATTCGTACAGTACTCGAATAATCGCCTGCCGTATTTACATATTACTATTGGGAAAAGCGAGCGCATTTACAACATATCAAGAGGTTTCTGTTAATGACATAAACTGAGATAAACTCATATTCCTTTGTTTACAGGTTTAATAATCCGATGATGAATTCAACACGATGTGGCAACAACTTGAATTTAAAATTAAATTGATTCCATTCGTGATACTTATCGGATATAATTTGTAACATAATATTAATCAACCTATAACATTTTTAAAAACCCGGGTGTATCTGTAAAAACCTGGATCTAATTAAAATAATTAATAGTATATCATTATATTGTATTGTATTATATTGTATAATTAATTTGATTGTTGTTTACATGTTGTCATGTTGAATTCATTTTCTGCCAGGCGCTAAATTTGGCAAAACCACCCCAAGCACCCCCGCGCGCTCGCGTTTTTTTTAGCTAACCTCTATACAATAACTGAATGCAACATTATTTTTTACTATTAAAGCACCTGGGTATGAGGCTGCCCCTGGCAAACCTTCGTGAAATGGCCCTTCTTTTGGCAATTTAGGCACATCACATCCCGAGCAGGACATTTTGATCGAGGATGTCTATTCTTCCCACAGAAGAAACAAGAAGGAGCACTCTCAGATAGCAAGGCTGCTGTAGCGCTGGGATCCAAATTTCCTGATTGAGGTACCTCGATTACAGGTTGTAATACTGGAACTTGAGATTCGGTATAAGATTCAGAACTCAAGCGAACGAGCTTGATTGAACATTGTTTTAAGATCCAATTTTTTATTCTCAAGTAGCCTCTGACGAATGGAATTAGATAATAATCCTGTGATAAATGCATTTCGAATACTTTCATCCCGATGCTGGGCAGCTGTAACGTTCTTAAAATTACAGTCCTTACTAAGAGTCTTGAGAACCTGCAGATATTCATAGAGTGTCTCTCCCGAATGTTGACGTCTTGTTGCCGAAATGTGGCAAGCATATCTCATTTTTAGGTTTAACGAACAAAACGTCTAACATGGTGATAGCTGTAGTGTAATCATCGCAATCTTCAATGTACTGAAATACCATAGGTGACACAAAGTTAGTTAATACCCCAAATTTATTGAGTTCTTCCTGTGGCAATACAATTAGAAAATTCTCGAATGTGCGTTTCCAACGGAGCTACGCCACAATGTTTATGTTGAATAAATTGCTATAATAGAATCAAAGTTCAAGCCATACAAAATAGGCTTTATTCAACATAAAATGTCGAACTATTATTACAAAACATAGCGGCGAAATTATCTCTATGGCAGAGAGCACTGACCTTTATACCGAAGGCTCAAGCACAGCAACCCAAGCCATACATAATCAGTTATTAATAATCATAACAAGTATTGAGAATAAAAATGTACCAGTATTCACCTTTGTTGCTAAGTCATCAGATGAGCCCATACACTCCCCGCATTTACAATGTGCTGATGGACCAACTTTGAACCCCCCAATCTCTTGTGAGCCAAGGTCATATCACCAGATACATAGGCAATTGTGCCTCTGAATGGTCTCATAACTTCCTTAATTTTAAACTAATAAGGTTATTCACCAAAAGGTTATTCACCATCGGTAATAAATATTTTTGTTTCGTGAACTCCAGCTGAGCATAGATATATACGCGCATCAAATTATCACAAGTATACACCGACAGAAAAGGTTCATTCACCATCGGTAATAAATATTTTCGTTTCATGAACTCCAGCTGAGCATGGATATAATTATACGCACATCAAATTATCGCAAGTACACCAAAGTACACCGATGGAAAATGTTCATACACCATTGGTAATAAATAATTTCATTTCGTGAACTCCAGCTGAGCTAATCATAGACATACGTGCACTAAACGGCCACACCATCGGTACCATACGGTTGGTACCAACGGAAAATAAGTGATTTTTCATCGGTATTTTCAACTGATACCTAATTAACTCCTTAGAGCATGACTTCGCAATATCTTTAAATTTGTGACATTTTATTATTGCCACATATTCCATTGCATGTTTCTTAATCGTTTTGTTACAATTCATCACCAAAACGCAATATATTACAATATATATAAATGATATTGTATGCGTGCAATATATTGATTCTTCCTTCTCGAAAATATCTCAAAGTGTGCTCCTGCGTCAGTTATGTATATATATAGAATATCCCGTAAAATTTTAACAACGTATTTTCTTTGTACTCTGCTGTGAGTTTTTTCTTTATCACAAATACTAGTCATTCAAAGGGCCAAAGGGGCTGTTTACATGCACACTTTTTGGCCCGGAATGATTTCAGCCCAGCAGTGAATTGATAAAGGCAGTATGTGTGGCGGCCGATGCTTGTTCACCGTAATGCGCCATGAATGTTTAAAAATAAATCTTGACGATACACTTGTTTGACTTCGCTTTATTAAGTTCTCGTAAGATTCTTTGGCACTTTAATTATTTGCTTAACTTACTTCGCTTTACTTAAGTTCCCTTACGAGTATGTTACAGAGTCTGTCTTAAGATTATTGGTTGTCTCTTTTATATGCTTTACAGTAGGCGTTATGAATATATTAGGCACTCAACACGATAATTTGCATTAATGCACACGCAGTTACACTCCCCCCACAGAAATCCTTTGATTTCTTCTAAGTTAGTCATTGGCTACCAAAAGCACAAGTTTATGAATTGGTCTCTTTAACATTGAAGGGACTCTAAGCCTTTTTCCTTTATCATCCAAGCTTGTATCACCAACAACAAGTTCAACACTTCTGACCAAACCAGTTTCATCAGGATAAGTAGTGATAATCTTTCCGAGCTTCCAATTATTACGAATCTCACTTTCATCTGTCAGTAGGACTATGTCTCCAATCTTAAGATTTCTGCGAGGCTTGTTCCACTTTGTTCTTTTTTGTAATGAATGAAGAAACTCCTTTCTCCATCTTGCCCAAAATTCGTTCATAAAATGCTGAATTCTTCTCCATCTCTTCTTTGAATATAATTCTTTGTTCTGGAAAACTCCTGGCGGTGGTAAAACAACTTGCGTCTTCATAGTCAGTAGGTGGTTCGGCGTAAGGGGAGAAAGGGAATCAGGATCGTTCAAAGTGTTGACAGTTAAAGGTCTGGAGTTCACAACACATTCAACTTCACATATCAGTGTGCGAAAAGATTCATCATCTAAGCAAGTGCTGTTCCTTCGCATTAGGGCATTTAGGACATTCCTGACAGTTCTAATTTGGCGCTCCCAAACCCCACCAAAATGACTTGCCTTTGGAACATTCATTCTAAATTCGACCCAATCACAATTTGACTTCAACAGTTCAGCACCGATTTTCTTATCATCCATCACCTTTAACGCTTCTTGTAGTTCTCGTTGGGCACCAATAAAATTTGAGCCTCGGTCACTTCTTAGTTGACGAACGGGACCTCGTCTACATATGAAACGTCTTAATGCTTGAATAAATGAGTCTGTGTCCATCGTATTCGAGACTTCAAGGTGTACTGCTCGAGAAGCCATACATGTGAACAATGCGACGTATCTTTTCAGCTCTTTACGACGATCTTTAATATACCAAGGTCCACAATAGTCAACAGCGGCATATGTGAATGGTGCAGCTTGTTCAAATCTATCTGTTGGTAGGTCAGCCATCAATTGCTCTTGAGCAGCTCCTCTTAATTTTCGACATGTCACACATTTACTTATCATGTAGGCCACTGCAGATGATCCTCCAATGATCCAGATACCATTGCTTCGTATCTCATTCAACGTTAGACCACGTCCTTGATGAGCAACTCTTTCATGATAATAGCGAATTACCAATTCCGTCACGTGAGTTTTTCGAGGTAGAATGATTGGAAATTTGACGTTGTTGGGAATATCAGCATGCTTGATCCGACCTCCAACTCGCAAAACACCATGAGAATCACAAAATGGATTAAGACGATACAACTGACTTGTCTTTTTCACGGAATGTTTAGATGGCATCTCAAACCTTTCATCCCTTTCTTTCCTGATCGTCAACGTCTTGATATCTTCTTGAAAATGCATCATTTGAACTGACTTGTAGATTTCTATGTCGCCTTGCGTAGGGTTTCAACTGTAAGCTTTGGTTGACAATTATCAGATATAGTTTCTTTGCTCGTTGATTGGCCTGACTTGGCTTTCTTCAACAGCTTTTCCCTGTAGGTAAGACAAACTGCGACGGCTGATCTTGCACGTTGCCAACTCGAGAAAACTTCAATTGCCTGTGCAAGGCACCACGTTCTATTGACATTTAGGGAGAAACAAGATTGTTTAACTTCAGGATCTTCTAATGAAATGTCTTCAACCGTTGTATGTTCAAGCCACTGATCCTCAGGTTGCCACAGAAACTTGGGTCCTGTAATCCATCTTGGGTTCTTCAATAATTGCGAGGCTGTCATTCCTCTGGATCCGTCATCTGCTGGGTTAGAACTTGACTCTACATATTTCCACTGTCCTTTAGTAGTCTTACTACGGATTTGTGAAATGCGATTAGCGACAAATACGTGGAATCTTTTGGAGTCATTACCAATGTAGCCAAGAGCTATTTGACTATCCGTCCAAAACGTTTCGCTTTGTATATCATATTCAAGCTCATTCTTCATCGTTTCGTTGACCTTTACAGAAACCAATGCAGCTGTTAATTCCAAACGAGGTATGGATATGCTCTTTAGTGGGCAGACTCTTGCCTTTCCCATAACTAGCGAACAATGAATTTTCCCTTCGGCGTTCTGAAGGCGAATATACGAACATTGACCATAACCAACGTTGCTTGCATCAGAAAAGTTGTGGAGTTCGGCAGACTTAACTTCTCCAAAATCAATCGGCTTAAAACATCTAGGAATTGATAATTCTTTAAGGCAGGACAGCTCGTTTCTCCACTTTATCCATTTTATCTTTAAATCTTCTGGAATATCGTCGTCCCAATCAATTTGATCACGACAGAGATCTTGAAGTATTCTTTTTCCAAGAAGAATTATCGGTGCCACGAATCCCAGTGGGTCGTAAACTGAACAGACAGTCGCCAAGATTCCTCTTCTTGTTAACGGACGATCTTGTAAAATAATTTCTGAATTCAAAGTTGTCAGTTTCTATGCACCATTGCACGCCCAGTGTTCTTTCAATTGGTAATACAGCTAAGTCAAGATTCTTCACTGCATCCGCACGGTCTGACTCGGGAATTTGCTGAAGAATTTCTCTTTTGTTACTGATGAATTTGCACAGATTGAACCCACCTCGACTGCACATCTCTTTGGCTTGCTTCACCAGGTTAACTGCTTCGGACACGGAGGCGACTGACTTCAGCCCGTCATCGACGTAGAAGTTTCTTCTCAAGAATTCCGCTGCATCCTTTCCAATTTCTTGTTCATTGTCGTCAGCAGTTCGTTTAAGGGCATAGTTCGAGCATCCTGGAGACGAGGCTGCCCCAAACAGATGCACTGTCATCCGATACGTTTGAGGTTCTTGATTTGTGTCTGGGTTGTCTCCAGGCCACCAAAGAAAACGGAGGAAATCGCGATACTCTTTCGAGACCTTTACTTGATAAAACATAGCTTCTATATCAGTTGTGAAAGCAACACTTTCTTGGCGAAATCTTGTTAATACTCCAATCAGTTTATTCGTTAAATCTGGACCTTGGAGTAGATACTGGTTGAGCGATTCTCCTTTGTATTGAGAGGAACAGTCAAATACAACTCGTATCTTCTTAGGTTTCTTGGGATGGTAAACCCCGTGGTGTGGGATGTACCAACATTTTCCTGGTTCTGTTGTTTCTTCATTCGATGGAACTTGCTCTGCATATCCTTTCTTTATCATTTCTTTCATGAATGTGACGTAATCTTCTTTGTACGTAGTATCATTCTTGAATCTTGACTTCAATTGTTGTAGGCGAAACACAGCTAAATTTCGGTTGTTTGGTAATTTGATATCATCATTCTTGAACGGCAGTGGGATCTCATAATGTCCATCTTCTCCAAGGTGGATTCCATCAGAAACCTTTCGCAGGAAATTCTGGTCATCAATTGAGGAATACGTTGGCGAAATGTTAATATTCTCGTTGAAATCGAGTTCGAACATCTTGTTGATCGTTGATGGGTCGATAATTTCTTTTACACGATTTTCTGGAGCGAAAACAATGTTTAGTTGTTTCTCTGAGGCAATCTCCCTGGTCACAATGCGATTACATGACATTTGATAACTTTCAAAGTCTAAGTCGTTTTCATTCAACTTCGAAACAGGACCGATAAACCCCCAACCAAGAAGAGTTTTAATTGCATAAGGATCGTTCTCGTTTCCTGGTATGACTTCCTGTGGCTTGATCGCCTTTGGACAATTTGATCCAATCAGTAGACCAATGTCCACGTTTTCTTGATAACGTGGTAATTGTGTTGTTAGCCTTTCTAAATGCTGCCATCTTTCAGCCATTTCAGGTCGAGGTATCTCGTCTCTTTTTGATGGAATATCATCTCTACAGTAAACGGATTTCGGTAACTCGATTTGGGTGGTTTTTCCTAGGTCTTCTATGATAAGCCCAGCTATCTTCTTTGTTGCTATCATTTCCGTTCCATGCATTGTGTTTAAGTTTAGATGAACATCTATACCATTAAGTCCGAGTTTCTTTGAAGTATCACTTTTAATGAATGTCCCATTACTAGCAGGATCTAATAAAGCGTATACCATTATTTGATGATGGGGATCTTTCTTGTGATGCAACCAAACTGGTACAATCATTGAACTGATTCTGCTTTCGTTGTTATCTTGATTGGATTTCACAGCATTTCGTACGCTTACACAGTTGTTAATTGTAGAACCAGTGGATTTGGGGTCCTTATTGGGCAATTCTGAGGAAGTTTGCGTTGAGCACTCTTTCTTGTTGCCACTCTTCGTTGCATCATGTAACAATGTAGGATGTTTTAGTTGGCAAACATCACACTTCTTTCTAGTGAGACATCTTCTAGACACATGACCAACACGAAGGCATCCGAAACACAATTCTTTCTTCCGAATGAAATCCATTCTTTCACTTAACTTCATTTCTTGAAACTTCTGACAATTCTCCAAAACATGATTCTTTGCACACAAAGTACACTTGTGCACATCAGGTGGACTTCTTTCTTTGTCAGTAAGCGATAGGGGATTGACGATGGTTGAAAAATTACTGGACTGTTCATTCCTTTTCCATTTACGAATGTCTTGCTCTTTACCTTCGTTCTTCCTATCACCTCTCTTTTCTTCTTTAATGGCATAAGGAGAAAACACAGGATTTGTAGCAAAAGTTGCTTCGTCTTTCACAAATTCTACGAAATCGTGGAATTTGACTGCGTCTTTTTCAGTTAAGATTTCATTCGCTCGACGGCACCATCTTGCAATTGCGAAATTTGGTAATTTTGAGCAAATCTTCTTTATGACATCTTCGCTATTTAACACTTCCATGTGTTTAAGTGTCTTCATAGCTTCTTCCGCTTGTACAAGAAAATCTGAAAATTTCAATAGACCAACACCATCTCCTGAGTCCTTTATGGTAGCCCAATTCAATAACCTTTCTTTGTAGGCATAAGCAACGCGATATGGATGACCAAATCTTTCTTTCAGAACAGTTCGTGCTTTCGTGTAGGCTTCTGGAGAGTTCAATGTGACTAAGCCTTTGATAACTTCTCTTGCTTCCCCACTTGTGAACTGATTCAAATAATAAAGTCTTTGCTTCGGATCCTCGACTTTGCTTTCAATGAGGGATTCGAAGGAATTAATGAAATAAGGATAATCAAAATAATTACCAGAAAACATTGGTGGTTGTTGTTTAGGTAAGGAATTCAATACTTGTTGCTTAGCCAATTCAACTAATAAAGGTCCAACACTATCAGGTTGATCTGGTTTCACATCATTAGATTGTGATTCATAAACATTTGTTTCTTTCTCAGGAATGACTTGACGTTCTTCGCCCTTTAAGACTGGAGGAACAGTATATGTAGAAACGAATTCTTGAGCGTTTGCATTCAATTCGAACGTCGCTGGAACATGCCGAGGAATTGCTTCATCAGGCATGGCTGACTGAAGAATATTTTCATTAGGCATAGCTAGCCACGAGTAGTCAGAAACATCAGGAATATCTTCGTCGTCCGATGTAGCTTCATCACCAATCAAATCTTGCTTATGAGTATGCACTCTTGTTCCCAGTACCTCGAATCTACGCTGTTCTTGTGGGGGATGGGTTTTTTGGGTTGTTATGCTTTTTCCTTGCCCACGATATTGATCGAAAGCTTGCATTTCATTAGTGCGAGATATGTCCCGTTTTTCACATTCTTCTTCAAATTTCTTAAGAGCTTCTTCTTCTGCTTTGGCTTTAGCGATTTCCTTTAATGTTTTTTTTTTTATATTCTGCTTCTTTATCAATAAAGTCCATTTCAACTAGCAATGAAGCTGCTTTCGCGGCGGCTTTTGCTCTTCTTGATCGAACTGATGATGTTGATTTTCCCGACAAACGCGATAACGTGCTTGACTGTGAACTTCTCTGTGTACTTCTCTCTTCTACGGCCTTTATTCTTTCGTTAACTCCTGTTCGAGATAGAAAATGTTCGCGATCACGTATATCTAGCCATCGGTACGCTTCGGTGATTTCTTGCAACGATTCTAGATTTGAATAGTAATTATCGTGTGCTTCGTTTAACCTTTCTCGCAATTTATCTAGTTCGTCTCGTTGTCTTTCTAGAATCGAAACATCGACTGTATCGAAAGGCTGATCGAGCAAACGATTTACGTAAGTGATTTTTCTTCGAAGGTTTGCTCCAGCCAACGTTCTTAGTTGCAGTAAATCCTTTATATCAGTCACACGTCTAGGGTCCAAAGTTCTACTTCGTCTTTGACGTCTTTCATCAACGATTTCACTCTGCGCTCTATCTTCATCTTGATCCTTTACTTCAGCGCTGAAAGTCTTCAATCTTGTTATTGCTGGCATCGAATTTGATCTTTCCATAGTTGATCTCAATCAGCTCTGGTTTCGTCTTTGTATGTAGAGAATCTTACTGTGGCGGCCGATGCTTGTTCACCGTAATGCGCCATGAATGTTTAAAAATAAATCTTGACGATACACTTGTTTGACTTCGCTTTATTAAGTTCTCGTAAGATTCTTTGGCACTTTAATTATTTGCTTAACTTACTTCGCTTTACTTAAGTTCCCTTACGAGTATGTTACAGAGTCTGTCTTAAGATTATTGGTTGTCTCTTTTATATGCTTTACAGTAGGCGTTATGAATATATTAGGCACTCAACACGATAATTTGCATTAATGCACACGCAGTTACAGTATGTTAGTAGAGCTATTTTGAATTTCAGCCACACGTAAATTACTATTTCATGGGTGTTTGTTTATGTTTTAAATAAATATAATTAATTGTGATTAATTTTGCCTATAAACAAAAAAGCCACACATTTGAATCATGAATAATAGAATAGAAATTATGCTATCAGTCATGCTAAATCAAACGTTTCAAGCTTAAAACGTGCATTAACTTTGTCTTCGATTCAATATGGTGTAATATTATGGTTTTGGCATACTTTTTGTCAACTATTGAAGGTAAAAGGTTAAAAACCTTACTTTGTAGCAATTCATAATAGTGAAAACGTCAACGAAACCGTAAAACGCCGCTTCATACTTGAACGGAAGTGATATATTCCAGCCTATATCGTTACAAACAATAAACATTAAAGTCGAGATATTATTTTAATCTATATACTATCCAATTAACATTTCAATTCTTTGCTTAACTAAACATCCGCAGTGTATTATTTGTTTTTCATCGTAACATCTGCCCGTGCCGTTGCGTTGCTATGAATGCATCACAAGTTCGCGTTTGTGAAGGACATCCACTTTTATATACCATTAATACTGTATCTAATCACTTTACAGCAATTCAGACAAGAAATATTAATAATGCACTGCATGCTTGGAAACATTTTGGGTAAAACAATTGCTAAATAATTATGTTCATTCGTATTATTTATGTTTCTGCCGTATCTATGATTGTCAATAGCATTTATACAGAGGCTACATACTTCCACAGTTCGTTTTAGCGAGATCCTCTAACGAGGTTGCAGCTTATCTGGCTTATCATGCTTTTATTTTCACTTTTCTCTCCACGCCATTTATGTGTAAATATATCTTGTGGAACATGTCAAAATAAAACCAACATGGGGCATATCAGTCCATATTATTCCAAATCCATTTCATCTGATCACATCTCTTTCTCGTCTTCTGTCTATCCCAGTATAAGTCGATGTCAGGATACACTCACAAGTAACTTGAGGTGCACATCCATTACCCAACAAAAACAACAAAAATTTGAATGTTTCTCCATCTGACAGAGGCTTCTTCCAGGAAACCCTTTTTATTTCGTTTGGCCAATCCTTAACCTGATAGAAAGCATCTCCGTCCAATAGTGATAGCAATTCACGTCTTTTCGCATATATTTCTTTTTTCGAACACTGCAAAACAAAACTTTCAAAATCACGCAGTTCTATTTTGCTTTTGTGTATACTTCATATACCAGAAGCGACAATTCAAAGTCTTCTGGGTTGTTATTAACTTAAAAGAGTATATTCAGGTTTCCCACAACTTATTTAATACCTATCCCCTAGCACAAAGACCAATTGAATTAACATGAAAAACCGTGATGGGATAGACCTTAAGTTTTAACCTATATATATATAGTGCATGCAGTTGAGTATTATATATAGTTAATTTCAAAATTATTTTATCCTATATACACAGCCATTTGCTATGTTCCGCCATTTTTCGCACATTTTGTTGAATCGCAAAAGCTGCTGTTAACCTAAAACTTTCAAACGTACAACTATTATCTTCCTATTTCCTATAATATATAACACAGTAGCAGTTATATTACCACAATTGATACCTTTCTATATATTTAATACTACGGTTCGAATGTCTTTTATTTACTTCATTTCTACTCTCACACACAGGCACCGCACTTATACGGCTTTTTCCTTAACGCTAACGGAATTTATTCTCTCTACACCAAAGTAAGACAATAGCATAACGGAAAACCATCCAAAGATAACCCGATTGTTCAAGAACAACTCTATTGAACGTGTCTCTCAATGTGCGACCTGCGACCAGTTTGGCATGTAAATTAAAAAAATGCACCTCGCAGGATGTTAGTAATTTAAAACAGCTGCACCAACTGTATGCCAGTTCGAATTACAATGCGGGAGTTCAAAGCTTCACAAAACTGTTTACAATATTTATGGTGTAGCAATTTTTTCATATTACGCTGTCATTTGACTCATTTAAGCGTATTTCTGAGTTAAATGCAGACCTCCCTAACATTAGGTTTGCACATATAAAATTCGATGTTTGAAACGAGCTTAACACTGATTTTGATTTTACGAATACATGTTGTTCCATGCAGCATTTACATGCAATACTGATTCGTCCTTTACGAAGTTTCGCGTATAATGAGTGCTAAATGCGCCACAAGTCTGCAATATGCATAATACATATCCATAAATGCATACAGCGGGGGACCAGCCCATTCTTGATAATGGCTATAGACTACAAACACTCACGGCTTCAACACAAATGAGGAATGTAATAATCACACACAACCATGCAACGGACATGTAATACAAGTTGATGTTATGGGCTATTTACCCTTTATAAATGTTCATATTCTCTCTCCACAAAACGACAATATACAGTCAAATATAATAATTTATCACATTCATTTATGATGTATTGCATTTTGCATTGTTATTCGAGACGATTATACCGACAGATAATAAGTATTTACCAATGGTGATTTTGATTACTATCGGTACCGACGGTACCGATGGACAGAGGTTTTGGGGGCCTATCTGAATACCCCACGCAGGCGAAGCTGCCGAAAAATGCAGGTGTGACTGGCTTCGAAAACAAAGCGTGCTTGACAGTAATTTCCACCCCCATGCATGGGTACGGATGGACAGTATGTACTCACAGAAGTTCAATTAAATTCTCCATCCGTACCGACGGAGAATATGTATTCACCGATGGTATATTAAACTTTCCATCGGTACTGACTGAGTCTATCTATTTACGGATGGTGAATTGCCTTACCATCGCTACCGGCGGACACGGTTTTTGGAGGGCTTCCTTAGCCAAACCAAACTACTTGCTTTGCCAACTGACACAGTTATTTACCGACCGTAAAATCAATTCTCCATCGGTACGGACGGAGAATATCTATTTACCGATGGTATATTCAATTCTTCATCGGTACCGACGGAGTCTATCTATTTAGCAATGGTTAATTGCCTTATCATCGGTACCGACAGACAATCTTTTTGTAGGCTACCTTAGCCAAACCAACCCCTTGCTTTGCCAACAGACACAGTTATTTAGCGACTGTGAATTCAATTCTCCATCAGTACCGACGTTGTCTATTTTTTTACCGATGGTGAATTGCCATACCATCGGTACCGATGGAGAGGTTTTTGGAGGGCTACCTAAGCCAAACCAAACGGACACAATTATTTACCACTGTGAACCTAAATGAGTAAAAAACCAAAATTTAGATACCTCATCTAATATATATGGATCATTTAATATTTATTCCAAGCTCTTTGAAATGGTATCTCAATGACTTCTTCTGGTTTAGAAACCATCTTTTTTTTAACACCATTTATTTGGTGACAGTGTGTTACCCCCAAAACTCTACGCACTGGCTCCTAATAGAGGGAAGGGAACATAATAAGCGCTTAACCCATTAAGCAGCATTGCGCCCTAGATTGGTTCATTTCACTACAGTCAAATGGTTCAAATATCCAATACAAGATAGACACAGGAGCTCAAACCAACGTCCTACCGCTGTCAACATACAACAAACTCAACATTAAGTCCACATTAGAAAAAACTGACATGAAATTATCAGCATATAATGGCGGGGATATACCAGCCATTGGAAAGTGTGAATTAATTCTAGAAAACAAGAATGAAAATCATAAAGTTATGTTCATTGTCACCAACACTGAATCACCACCACTTTTTGGTCTTCAAACGTGTCAACAGCTGAACATTATCAAATGAATATGGATTGTCAACACCTTGGAACCAAATTTGTTGCAAAAATATGAAGATGTATTTAGAGATATCAGATGTTTACAAGGAGAGCATCACATTGTCACAAATCCTGACGTCCAGCCTGTCGTACATCCATCTAGAAAGATTCCCATATCAATGATGAACTAACTTAAAGCCGAATTAGAAAGAA